GGCTCAATTTATCTTGGTTTCAAATAAGTAATAATTTTATGCTGAGAAAAAAAATAAAAAATCCTTTAGCAGAACAAATTACCTGAACAAAAACAGAAGTGTAAACGTGCTTGGCCTAAAGAATGGCATAATCTAAAATAGTGCTCTTCAAACTTTAGCCTGCAGACACATAAATTGTTTTTTTTTTTTTTTTTAATGCATTCTGGTTGGGAGGTTTAATTTTGTGCCAACTTGACTGAGCTAAGGAATGCTCAGATCACTGGTAATACAATTCTGACTGTGTCTTTGAGGGTGTTTCTGGAAGAGTTTACATTTGCATTGGTAGACTGAGTAAAGATAAGGCCAACATGAGTAGGCGTTATCAAACCTATTGAGGTACAGAACAAAACAAAAAGGAGGAGAAAGGATAATACTCTAGGTTCTCAGGCTTTTGGACTCAGATTAAGAATTACACCTTCAGCTTCCCTTGTTCTCAAGTCTTCAGACATAGTCTGAATCATACCACCAGAGTTCCTGTTTCTCCAGTTTATACAAGGAAGTCATAGAATTTCTTTGTCCTTAATCATGAAATCATCATGTGAGCCATATCTTATAATAAATCTGTCTCTTGATAGATGTATGCATATATGTATATATGGATAGATGGATGGATGGATGGATGAATGGATGGATGAATGGAGAGATAAGTAGATTATTAGCTTAAGTAGATTATTCTACTGGTTAAGCTTCTTTAGAAAAGACTGACTATCACATGTGTTGAACAATTTGGGGAGAATCTACATTTCTACAATCCATCTGTGGACGTGTATTTCACTGATTCTCTGACCCCATTTTGAGTTTTGAGTTTTGAAGAGTGATCTTCAAAATGTACACTGAGACTGTTTCCATAAAAATTGCCTGCATTCTTGAAATTTTAGATTTCCAGAACATCATTGGTGTATCAAATTAGATTGATAAGAGGAAAATATCCATGTTCACCACATAATTACCATATGGTTCTCATGCATATTAAATTGAAAATCATTAGGGTTGGGAGTTCAGAGACTGCAGGAAATGTCTAGAGAGTGATTCCACCAGAATGTTAAATTAAAAGATCTTGAATCCATTTTATTTTATAGGCAATTGGTGACAATACCAAGTTTTAAACAGAACACTGACATCATACATTTATGTCTTACACAGATTGATCTGTAAGAAATGTAAAAGTAGATGGCAGCAAAACAGAACATCTCCTATAAACTTTTCCTACTGACAAGTAAAATCTACAAAACAAAGTGTATAATACAGCAATTCTCAGGCACTGAACATCATAAACAAAGAACCATAATCTGTGAGACAAGGGTAAGATACAGTGTGCATCCTAAAGTATACCATGACTGTCTTGGCTTTCCACCTGATATATTTCTCTGACAAAGAGTCTAAGATGGAAGGGCACAAAACATAAGAACTCACACTTAATAGTGGAGATTATAGTTTTGATATTATGAAATAACTGTGATTTGCAGTACTGGATAACTGATAAGAAGAAAATAAAACTCCATAGAGAAAGGATTGCAGAAGTCTTCAGGGAGATTTACCATGAGTCTTCGACTTGAGCTTCTCAGGCTATGATCTAGAAGAGATCATGAAAACTCATGGCTCAAAGGTGAATGGTAATGATACTGGAGTTCAGGCAGGATTGAGATTTGGGGGCTCTAGTAAGTCAGAATGGGGAGATTGCACCAGGTAATTTGGGCATTCAGGTGAGATAAAAAGAAGCCATGTATTAGGTAAGAATATTATGGACCATGTCCAAAAGTAAAAATCATATCCCAGAAAAAGAATGCCAAGGGGCTAAGTTAAAAACTGAAATAGACTCATTCTAATAAAAAAGTCAAACTAGGGTGAGTAGATCAAATGTATTCTGCAAATGTACAACCACCAAAAAAAAAATACCAAAAACAAAACAGTAAATAAATAAATAACTCAATATCCTTTAAAGGAAGATGACATGATGAATATTATCTATAACAGTGTACATTAGTCTAGTGCACAATAAAATTAATAAATGAAGCAGAACAATGTGATAATTAGTCAATTTTAAAAGCATTCAACAGAAACAAACCCTAAACTAGTCCATGTGTGGAAAAAAAAAAAACAATAGGCATTTAGATTAGTCTTTTAGAGTATTGTTTAAATAAATAAATTTGCAGAAAAAATATGGAAGGATAGTGGAGAGAATTGGCTATAAAAGGTCAAGTGGAAAGTTTGGGGCATGATAGAAATATTCTATTATCATATTTGTGATAATGATTGTATGATTAGGTACATTTTTAAAGATTATCAATTATATACTTGAAATTGCAAATTTTATGTGCATATACTATACCTCAATAAACATAAATCCTGTAAAAACAATCCATTTGGCATTAAAATACTGAGCATTTGTTCTACTATAATTAAAGTAAACAGAGGTAATGCCATTAGTGAAAAAAAAAGAAATTTCAAATGTGCAGCAGACCTAGCATGTCAGAGTATGTAAGATATACAATGAAAAGAAGTATTTCTGTGACTACCAAAAAAGTGGTGAGAGTTACATTATTTATTTTGAGTGCTATGAACAAAGTAAAGTTCAACTGCAATATTTTTAAAAATTTAAAGAAATATGTATTAATGTCTGCTCTGTAAGCATCAAAAATATAAAATCAAGAAAGACAAGGATAGGCTGAGAAACACTTTCTCACTAAAGATTATAGAAATAAGAACACTAAAAATGCATGATTCTGGATGGAATCCTAGGCCAGACCAAAAAAGAAAAAAAAAGTATAAATCATGCAATTGAGACAATTGGTCAAATTTGAATTTGTTATAGAGATGGAAGTATCCCATGTATATTAAATTTTCTGATTGTATATATTGGAGTTATATTAGTGACTTGTTCTTAGTAAATAAAGTTTAAAGTACTTTGTAGAAATAGGGCATGCTCTCTTCAATTACTTTCAAATGGCTCAGAAAAAAACTGAAAAATAATGGAAATGAGACAAAACATAAACAGTTAACCTGGATAATGTGTATACAGGAGTTTCTTGTAGCATTCTTAAATTCTTTTAAGTTTGAAATAATGTTAAAATAAAAATTTATTAGAAATTTATGAGGAAAGGGAAATGAAGTCTAAAATGATTTAGACACTTATTGTAATAGTTCAGTCAAGGAAAAATTAGAGCTGCATTTAATGCGTTGGTAGGGTACTTTATGTGATTTTTGTATTTAGAGTGAATGGTAACTTTAATTTGTTTATTACAAATGAATAAAGAATAAGCAGAGTGATCAAGCATTTTATTATGGTCTTTTAAGGTGCTTTGCCTACTTTGTTTCCTAAGAATCTAAATTCATGTAAACTTGCTATGAAAAAGTTATAGCCCATGTACCTTTCTGAAACATACAAGGAAACATAAGAAATAGAGCAAAGAGAACTCTAAAAATGGAAATTTAGTTTTGATAAACAAGAGGAAGAAATATATTCTCGAAAGACGGTAACTCTAAATCATTTAGAAGCTAGTTGTAAGCTAGTGTCATGCTAAATCTTAGCAAAATGAACTAACACAGAAAGAATTTCCCAGACAGACTCAAAATTCATAGTTTCAGAAATTGCCTTGGTTATCCATCATCAACTTCCCCTTCCTCAGAGTTCTTTTACTCTCATCGCCTGCCTTTTAGCTGAAAAATCAGCGTATGATGCTACTTCATATATTTTGAACTCAGCCTCCATTTGAGTTTAGGAGTAATGAGTATTAAAGACAATTTAGCACTTAACCATGGCTTTCACCTATAAGGAATCAGAATGGACAAAGATTGATTTGGTATAAAAAGAGACCATCAGCTTTATAGTATTTGCACTATGAACCATAGAAATATATGAACTGAGTCATGGAAAACTGTGGCCCTCTTCCCACACAGTGATAAACTCGCAAGAGATTAGGAAGGGTACAGGGAAGAGGGCTCCCAATATAAGCAAGTAGTTGCCCCACCTCCCAGACCCTAGCTACACAAAGGTGAAACAAAATCCTGCCACAGATTCACATGAAATTGAGAAAGAACAAAATATGTAATATAACAAGGAAAGGTTAGAAGTTGAGTCAGCTATACTATATTCTAAACTATAGAGTATATATAGAACAATATATACTATAGTATAGCTGAGTCAACTAAAACAGTAATCTGATATTCTAGATATGTAATTTTAATGTTCAATTCATTTTTTCTGTAATATAAACTCCAATATACATCCTACAAATTTATTTCAATAGCTAAAGAAATAACATAAGCTGTATATTTAGCTCGTAAGTACAGATAAGCACACATTGTTACTATGATTAGAGAATCACAATTTATTTTAAATAATTTTTATATCACATAAATTTATATTTATGATAACTTCAATGGGAATTCCAATACGCAATATCCCACTTATTACAATTCATTTTCATGTTTATTCTTATATCTGGTATTGGGATTTGATTGGAACAAGGGTTCAAGTGAGAAGAAACAAACAATTAAAGCAAAAGCAAGAAAAAAATAAATGAAACTAAAGGGAGCTCTAGAGACACTTTATTAAGGAAATCTTTCAGAAAAGAAATGAAGCTTCAATCACAATCAAATGCAAACTCATCTCTCTCTGGTATACTGGTGAGGAGCTCTGTGTGGAAACTAGATGGTCTGGTCTTATACCCTGGCTAACCTCTAGCTAGCCATGTTCCCTTGGGGATAATAACTATATTGACTTGCAGAGTTCTTGTGAGAATTAAATGGGTTAAACACAGAAAGCCTTAAAAGTAGTATGTGTCTAGTGTATAAAGGATATTTACTCAAAAAAGAAAAGGAAGTCAATTCAGTAATGTGATGCCTCTGTCACTCTAAAAGTTTTTTATGATTAATATTTGCTCCTCCTCCCCCAAAACAGCCTAAAAGTACCCACCATCTTTGGTTCTAATACAGTACTTATGGGAATGAAAATGTCATACCTTGTAAACTGCCAAATGCAATGCTGTAAATCCATTTCTTGTCAGTCGAGATGGGCGGAGCCCTTTTAACATAAGGGTTCGAATATGTGACTTGTTGCCTTTGAAAAAAAATAAAGGCTGAATCATTGGGGGTGAACTAAGTAGCTTTAAAATCTCTCTTTGACTTAATGATAAGTGCCACTCTGATGTATGAAAATGTCAGGCTGCTGTTCATAGGCCATTCATGAAATTTTCTATTAATTGACAGCTTAAAAGTGAACTTTTCTAATATACCTATAAAACTTTACAAATTTTTATATTTGTATAGTTTTATATTAATGCTGTAACTTGATGCATTTTTAATCTAGTGCTTCCATCATTAGATGGCTTTAAAATAAAAAAATTATGAACAAATGTAAGTTCATAATTCTCAAGAAAGCTTGGATGAAAATCTAGAGGATTTGTCAGAACACCATAAGTAGTAGAGCTTATTTAGATCAAGAAATACAGAGGGTATGACCAAGCTTGGGTAGGCATGTTTAAATTTGTGAGAATAATATACTAAGTAGACACTGTTTAGTTTGTTTGGGAGGAATGGTTAAGGAATATGGTTATATTTGATGTTTATACATTATTTTTCTATAAAAAAAATCTGATTTCAATGAATTTAATTTGGGTTAACAACGTAATTATTCACTAGTCATTTGTCAATTCAATAAATTTATTGACTGACTACTATATGCTAGACACCATTCAAGGTGTGTGGGATACATTAATAAAAGAGAAAATAAACTAAATTTAATCTTAATCTTCATTTTGACTGATCTTCTCTTTTAGAGTTTATCTTGGACATTTGTTAATTTCCATATACTTTAGTTGCTTATTGATAAGCAACTACTTGATGATATTTTGGGAAATATTTTGGGTACTTCAGAATTTAACCTAACTCCTGACTGGCAAGCTCAATTTTTAAAAGTGATTTCTGATTGTCAAGCACACTAAGTGACTTGGTTTAGGATAAGGAGAACATTGAAACTTGAAATCAGAGTTAAATTAAGTGAAATAACTGCCTGGTATCTATGCTTCAATCAAAGGTTATCAGGGTTGGAGGGAAGGCAAAGCTAAAGAGAACATTAAGTATAAATAGAATTTTCTTGTGGACTATTAGGCAGCTCAAATTACTGATTGTATATATATATATACCCAAGTTAAAAAGCAAATTTCAAGTACTCACCCCCACAAATGCAGCATAAATGTAGTAGTGACAGCCCATTTTCAGTGCGGTAATTTAAATTGACTTTATTGAAGGCTTCATCAGAGCTGAAAAATACATTATAAATGATTACAAAATTCATCTTTTAGTATATTTTCTTTCACTTGAAAATTATAAAAGGTAATCTTGTTACTAAAAACTCAGGATTATATTTTTCCAAAATCATTTTGTATTTAGAGAAAGAATTCTTAACTATGTATATGAAGAATTAAAATTGAGAGAAAGTGATATTAAAAGTCCAAGACATCTCATGCACAGATCTGTGTTCTATGTATAATTTAAACTTTTCAGGGCAACTTGATAAATGAAAAAAATTATGTGTAAGTATAAAATATAGATATCTGGAAATAAACTCATTTTTCCCACATTCAAAGTTTCACATTATATTTTTGGAGAAATTCGGAAAATAAATAAATAAATTAGAAAAAGAAAGAAAGAGAAAGGGAGGGAGGAGGAAAGAAGAAAGGAGAAAAAGTAGTACTTTGTATTTGAAAAGAAATTTGAGAAAAGGATATAATTCAAATGTATTACAACTTTTGCCTGGAGCAAAGTTTTCTTGAACTCTGACTGGATCAGATTTCATAGATAAAGAAGGTCTAAACTCTGGTAAGTACTGTGATAGAGTATCAGGTGAGGAGAACAATGATTTCATTAATGAATTCCTCCCTTTGTCTGAACAAAGACCATTGCCCCAGGAAGGCCCTGGAGAGCCATCAGTAGCTTTTCAAAAGGAATGTAAAGCTACAATTCTTGACCTCTTGAGGTCATTGGTACTCCCAGGACAATTTTAAGTAGAAATGAGATCATATCCTTGGCCTCACAGGTCAATTTCAAGCTGCCTTCTACCTATTCAAATCTCCAACAGCTTTAGAGAGACAGTAAAGTCTTTGGTGGAGGAGCCTAGGACTCTTATCATTTGTAAAGTACTTATACATGAAAGGCACTATGAATTCAGAACATTATCATCAAGGCACCCAGTTAGGAACATCAAAAGGTATTGGAATTTTAAAATAGAAAAGAGAAAAGTGTTATTCTCCAGAGTACTGCCAAAAAAGACAGAGAAGGGGGGGGAGAGGCAGAGAGAGAGAGAGAGAGAGAGAGAGAGAGAGAGAGAGAGCGCCTCCAAATCTAAGGTAATTCAAGGAACTCAGTGAAATGCTTTAATTAGCAATGGCAAACCCAGTGGTTTGTTTTCATAGACATGGTAATATTCTTCTTCCCTTCTTGCTTTCAATGTTTAACTTCTCAGCAGTAAAGTCTACTGACTTATTTATATTGGAAAAACACTGGAAATGCATTTAGCTCACAGAGGCCTGAGGTTCTGACTTCAAATAGTATAGGTGTTCTGCAGACCTGAACTCCACTCTTCAAGCTAGGCGGACTGGAGTTTTCTCTTTGCGTTTGTAGGAAATCAGTGTCCATAAATACAAAGGGAAAGAAGACTATCAGGTCACTGAGGACAAAGATTCAGAGGCTCTGAGCTGCTCTGGCATTTCTTTCTTGGTCCGTCTGTTATCCATCATATGAAACACACAACAAGCTCACACAAGACAGGAAACAAAGTGCTGGGGTGAGGAAGAGAGGGAGGCCTCTGTTAATGTAAACAACTATATAATCTGCAGCCTAAGAGCAAAACAAGAAAGAATGCCCTTTATGTTGAGTTGACCATAATGAACTTAATGACAAATACTAAAAGAATAAAAAGTTTGGAATCTCCTTGTGTAGAAAAAAAAGCGTTCTGAAAAAGTCAGTTTTTCAATGTGTATCAACATTATATGGCAATACTTGTCATTTTTTGGTTTGTTTTCAAATTGCAAAGGAAGTTCATGTCAATGATGTAGTCAATATTTAATGGCTTGGTTTTCTTAGTTATCATACAGGGCTGGTGCCTTTCAAGAAACTGAGGCAGCATACCCATCCTTCAAACCCCAATTCTTGCCATTAAGTCAGAAAGATTTCAGACATGTTGTTCAGAGTAACGGATATAAATTTATTGGAGGGATAGCAAAAAGGAAATGGGACACTCTCAAAGGAAAGAGTTAATCCTCTCAAAGAAGAGAGGGACCATATGCCTCTCCTGTACTCCAGTATTATTGGGGAGCCCAGAGAAGTTTCCAGAGAATCTCAGTGAGAGAAATAGAAAGTCTGGTGGTTCATTTTCAGAATATAGTCTTAATTGGATCCAATTATAGCTATTTTAATTATAGTCCTTCCCTTTTCCTGGTCTTATTTTAAAATTAGCCAATTGTGTAGATTGTACCCCTGAGCTCCTCCAATTGGGGGAAAGAGCAGCACTGTTAGGGATATAAACAGCAAATACCTCCTTAAAAACTCTCTGCTCCCCCTTAGGGGCAGAATCACAGCTTCTGGGACAGGAGGCCCCTGTATTTCTCCTTTGCTAGCAAAACAATAAATTTTTTTTCCTGTTTTTCAAAACAGTGTCCTCATTATTGTATTGGCATCAGCATCGGGGACAGGTACTGAATTTTCAGTAACATCATTGACATTTTTTCAGACCTGCATTTCTCCTGCAGATAACAGGTAGTTTGCTAAGGAATGTGACATATCCTGTTCACTTAAGCCACCATGGCTCTAGGTAAATTGCTTCTTGGAAAAGAAAGTATGTGGGGGTCAGTACAGTGGGCTTATTTTATAGAATTATTTTCTTAGCCTCATGTTCCCACTATTCTCATCTGTCTGTCCCCTATTAATTACATTCTAATCCTATCCTGATTTGTATTTATAATTTGGGCAAGTTATTTAACCTCTCCAAGCTGCATTTTCTTCAATTATAGAATAGGTAAAATGATACATAATGATATTGTGTTGTTGTAAGGAATAAATGAGGTTAAGTATTTACTACAGTGTCTGGCATATGATATGTAATCAAAAATGATTAGTGTATTGGTGTTACTATTATTACCAATTTCATGTGAATGTACAACTTTAGTTTTGAAGGATAAATCTCAGAAGTCTTTTATCACAAATTTTTATACCAATTTGACCTTTCACATTTAATAATTTATAAAATTTTCTGATTTTCTCAATCAGTTCTATTTATATAAGTATTTTATGCTCACAGTGACTCTTAGGCTCATATTAAATTGTCTGATTTTGACTTTTTTAAGGAACCCACTGAGTTCACTATTGTTGCATCCAGCACCTGTCAGTAATTCAGGAGCAACTTTTGGAGTCACAGTGTTGTAATACAAATTTGGAAACCTCATTCAGAAAATGTGGTATATATACACAATGGAATATTACTAAGCTATAAAGAAGAGAGAAATTATGGAATTTGCTGGTAAATGGATGGAACTGGTGGCTATCATGCTAAATAAAATAAGCCAATCCCCAAAAAACAAAGGCCGAATATTCTCTCTGATGTACAAATGCTAACACACAATAGGTGAGAGGGGATAGAAGTTCATTGGATTAGACAAAGGGGAATGAAGGGAAGGGAGGGGTGATGGAAACAGGAAAGACAGAATGAATCAAAACATAACTTTTCTATGTTCATATATGAATACACAACAATGTAACTCCACATCATGTACAACCACAGAATAGGAAGTTATATTCCATGCATTTATAATATGTCAAAATACACTCTACTGTCATGTATATCTAAGAAAAATAAAAATAAAAAATATTTTGACTGGAAAAAAAATGTAATACTTATTAGAAATAAGTTGTCATAGGCAACACTATTTTGAAACATATCCTCCATCCTAGAACAAGAGTCATCTCATAATTACAGTATTCTTGCATCACAAGAAAGGAAATTGCCCTCTAGGACTAAAATCCTGAAAACTCCTCATCTGTAAGAAGGTGACATCCCAAGGACCCTTCCCTGACAACCCCCACAGCAACTGCCTAATTGAAAAAAATCACGCCCCTCATTCCCTTCTGTCTACCCTAGACTATAAGAAGAGTCCCAGTCTCCACTGGACCCACTCCACAGGTTTGTCCTGAATACTGTAGCCCTATGTTACTGTTGAGTTGCCTCTTTATGCTCTTTATTCAGTTCCTTCCTTACTATACTATTTTCAATACTGGAGGTATATGAAGAACAAAAAATCCAAGAGGAGATGAAAGAGGTTGAAATGAAAATTGCTTTATTGAAGAAGATAGACTCAATTGCTTTCTTATTTCATAATCTAACTTTGATGATCCATTCAACAAGTCTGGCACATCACCTACTAAACACATCACCTACTAAACACATCACCTACTAAACACTTCTAAGTGGTTCACATCTGCTCTCAATACTCATTTCAGGTTGTTTTCAACAATGATATAAGGTACACACTACACTAATTCCTGGGTCCTTTAAATGTATCAATCCTAAGAATATTCATACTAGAGAGAATCCTGCCACTCTGTAGCATTAGCAAAGATCTCTAAAAACCTGATCAGCTTTCAAAAACAAAAAAGAAAAAAAAATCTTAAACATCGAATAAAAAGAAAATTCAAGATGCCGATGTCCGCTTTTTTATTTAAAAGCAATATTAAACTAAATGAATGCCTACTTTTTATAAATAAAACTGAAAGCATGGTTAGATTTATGACTTCTTATGCAATGACTATTCTAAAGGATAATTCACTGAATCTTGAACTGGCCTTTCATCCATAACTGACTCAGTACAGAACCTTACAGAATTCCATGTTTAAAATTGAGCTATTGTTTGTTGCTTTTGTACTTCCCTTCCATCTCCTTAAACTCTTGCAACTTCTATTCATGTCAACAAAATGAGTCAACAGGGAATACACTCTTAAAATTTGGGGGATTCAAGAAGGATTTTTATATCACAATTTTTAGCTTGACTTTAATAATTAGAATGTAAATTTTAAAAAAACAACAATAAGAGTTACTTTCTGGGCTGGGAACAGGGCTCAGTGGTAGAGCAGTGTCTAGCATTTGCAAGGCCCTGGTTTGATCTCCAGTGTGTGTGTGTGTGTGTGTGTGTGTGTGAGTGTGTGTGTATTATTTAGGAATAGTCTACAGTTTCCCAAACCAATCATTTAAGTTTCAAATGTCTAATTCTAAC